TTCCTTTTGAGAAGACATTTTTGTCTGTTTGCAAATTTCGTTGTGGTTCACTAACGTCTCACACGCACGCTGCGCAACAACCGACTGAGCGCTCTAACACCCTAACAGCGATCCTATTACCCGATAAATCGGCCCTTTCATGTCCGGCGGTCCGATTTTTTCTGGTCCGGAATGACATGAAAAACTCGGATGAGTGGCTTGTGCACTTGTCCGTTTTTTTACTGATCGGAGCGGCGCAGTGTAGGGCAGCTCTCTTTGAAGCTACACGTCACTTACGCTATATACGATGAGATTTTTGGAACGTCGGTAATTCCGTTCGAAGACGTAGAAAGGTACCTAAATAATGATCTGATCGTTTTACATAAACCATAATAAATTATGGCAAGACGAAAGCATTTTTTTACTACTATCGGATGACTACTATCAGATGTAAAAACTTATACCCTTACTAATTTAGGAACAGCATTATTCACATACAATAGCTAAAAATATGAGTGACATTAGAATAAAATTACTGATAATGGTCTAGTACTTGATGTTTAAATTTTTAAACGTGCTATTTTTTTTTTGAAGTTTTGTAAAAACATCTTTCAGCAATTACAGAGATAGACCAATCGGTGGCGCCATTTCGTAAACAAATCGAAATTAGCCGTGTTAGCGGAGAATTATTATGCTAAATGAACTTTAAGAGATCAGTTGATTGTATTATATATAGGCATAATTTTATACGCGTGGTGTAGTTTCTTTGAGCAGAAATATTATTCCCTTAGAATACTTTTTTTTTTAAATTATTAATGACACAAACATACATTTAAAATTTTGTTAAATGCGAAAAAGACATTGAGTATCACTTAATTACTTTTGTTAATTCTTTATTATTATTTCTGTTGTCAAATATTTATCTTTATTTATCAATTGTCTAAAAAAAATTTGATAATGACAAATTTCCAGGCAAACTTTCATCCCCTATTTTTCGCGATAAAATGTAGCCTATGTCCTTTCTTAAAGTTAAGTCTATTTTCTATATTAATTTCCATTTAGATGAGTTCAGTTGTTTAGGCGTCTAAGCGTAACAACACTTATTTATCTTACCTTAAGCTATCGATACTTTTAATACGATTCTAAAATCTAGCTAAGTATATAGCATTTTATAATCAACAATAAATATGGATTATAAGTTTATTGGAAATTAACAATATTGCCGAAATAAATATCGATTCAAATCGATTATTTTTTCCCAAGCCTATTCCTTATGAATTTTCCGGATCTCGGACACAGCAGTGCACAAGCGTTAACACGTTTTTCATTGCCGTCATCACGGACCTGAAAAAACCGGTCCGGAATAGAGAAAAGTAAAATTCCGGACGGTAAAATTCCTGACAGTGCACAAGCGCGCATTACCTACATATGGCCTGACATATCGGACCTGAAAAAATCGGACCGCCGGACATGAAAATCCAGTGTAGTGCACAAGCGCCCTAAGGGAAAAATATTTCTGCTCAAAGAAACTACATCACGCGTATAAAATTATGCCTATAATAATACAGTCAACTGATCTTGTAAAGTTCATTTAGCATATTAATTATCCGCTTACACGGCACTAATTTCGATTTGTTTACGAAATGGCGCCACCGATTGGTCTATCTCTGTAATCGCTGAAATTTGTTTTTACAAAACTTCGAAAAAAAATAGCACGTTTAAAAATTTAAACATCAAGTACTAGATCATTATCAGTAATTTTATTCTAATGTCACAGATATTTTTAGCTATTGTATGTGAATAATGCTGTTCCTAAATTAGTATAAGTTTTTACATCTGATAGTAGTCATCCGATAGTAAAAAAAATGCTTTCGTCTTGCCATAATTTATTATGGTTTATGTAAAACGATCAGACCATTATTTAGGTACCTTTCTACGTCTTCGAACGAAATTACCGACGTTCCAAAAATCTGATCGTACTTAGCGTAAGTGACGTGTAGCTTCAAAGAGAGCTGCCCTACACTGCGCCGCTCCGATCAGGAAAAAAACGGACAAGTGCACAAGCTACTCATCCGAGTTTTTCATGTCATTCCGGACCGGAAAAAATCGGACCGCCGGACCTGAAAATTCAGTGTAGTGCACAAGGGCCCTAACTCTCATCGGGCGATCGGGCGCCCACGTTCACCCGATATCGGGACCCTAACTCTCTACCCCTAACCCTAAGACTACCCAATTTACAGTGTACCCGATGGATCGTGCCCGATAGATTGGGTAGTGTAATAGGCGCCAAAGACTACAGAAACATGCGACTTCATCATGCCAGAAAATGTTCCCGGTCTGCAACAAATGAAGATGTCTTTAAAATGCTTTTGTGCACGTCAGATCCATATATAACAAATTTAAGAAAACCATACTTAAGAAATGTAAAAAATCTTGAAGTAGAGGCAGTAAGTCTTTTAAAAGTGGTACCTGAAAGTGAACGCACATTTACTGACCCTGATCCTGAAGCAATATAGGTACCAACCAAAATAAAAATAATATTGACATTTAGTTATTAGTAATGTTTGTAACGAGCATTAACGAGCTATATCAATCTCTGAAGCTACAGGCCTAGAATAATTTGTTTTTCAGCAAAAAAAAATTCTTTTGTGTTTTTTATTAATTGGGTAATTGTATTTAACCATAGTTTTAGCCTTTTTAGTCATTAAAACTTTTGGAATTAATTTTTTTACCATTTTATTTTTGTTTTTCCCATTTTTTTACTTCTATGACATATAACACATATATATGTATATAGAAAAACACTACAAATTATACATCATTTGAATTTCCAAACCTCACTGAATATTTGTACCAAATTTCATTGCGGTACTACAAAAAATTATGAAGTTATAATTTTTTGATCCGATAACGACCGATTCTGCCCACCGTGCGCCGTGTTATCTATCATTGATCGAAAGTCACGCCTGTTAATTGAACAGCACCATTCAATTAACAGGCTGACTTTCGATCAGTCGAGTAACTGATCGCATTGTTCTATGTTATGGTTGAATAAAGTACAGCCAACTAATTAACTGTCAATTCATAGGGAATATTAAAGTTTATTAGTAGGATTAGAAGTAAAACAAAACAAATATATTTGAGCGATCCAAATATCATAATGATTCAACTAGAAAACTAACTGATGTTTAACAAGTTGGCTGCGACAGATATGTAAAAAAAAAACAATATGACGGATATGGGTGGCATTTCAAAAAAATTGAAATTTTGTATGTAATGAGATTTCTTCGTCTTGCTACCTTCACACTCTGAAATATTAAAAGAAAATTATTTGGTCAAGATAAAATGCATTTGTAATTGTAACAGTTTACTTAATAAACTGTCCTTGTTTTGAATTCTTTTTTTAATACAAATAGATTTAAAGAAAAATATAATTAAAAATAGTTGAAGGTACAATGTTAACAATTGTACTAAGGAGGTAGGCAGACATAGGAGCGCAGCGCGGCTCATAGTGGTGGCATAGTATTTAAAATGACTTCTCGCGAGTCCAATTTTCATTGTGATTTGATTATTTCAAATTGTGTGTAAGTGCTAAATAACCCCGAAATCGGGTGAGTGTTCTATTCATTTAATTTTTGCTGCTCGCTTATAAGTTTATTACCTTAGAGTATTTTATTTTTAAAATCACAAGTCCAATAAGTAACTTTTAAATTCTAAATCTGTTTCGCTGTTTTATAATGTTTATTCATTGTTCATTGAATATTATTACTGAGGTAAAAATCCAGTTCTTAACCTAATGTTTGATAATATTTTTATTCTATTTCGATAAAGGTGAAATAGATATTTAAGGAAAGAAGTATTATAAAATTGTTGCTATACTTAAAGTAATAACATTCATAAAACAATATATTGAAACAGAACGGAGTTCTGAGACTATGCAAAATTAACATTTTATTATTTTTCTACCTTACAGATTTCATATTTAATTTTGTCTGCTAAATTAAATATATAATTAAATATAATCGATACATTGTCCGAATGCTAGTTATTTCAGTTTCAATTCGTGATTTGTTTCCATCTCAGGTTCGATTCCCGGGTTGTGCTATAAATAATTTTGATAACCTTGAAATTTAGATGATTTTAAAGGGAACACTTAGTGTTTTCATTTTACTTGAAGTACGGGTTCGATTCCCGTATAATATAATATATTAGTAATTGTATTTTTTTAACTTACAGATTATTATCATAGTATCTGTTATTTTAACTTCATTCTAAATGATTTTTGATATAATTTGAAACACACGTTTTTATATTTTTTTAGCCGGTAGATTTTTACAGAAGCTATAGCAAATGCAGCTAACTTAATTTTTCCAGGCCACAGGTAGCTGCACTTTTTGAATTTCTATTTAGTGCTGTATTTATGTTACAGGGTTTCTACTGCTAGTTTCTACTGCTAGTTTCTACTGCTAGTTTCTACTGCTGTTTCTACTGCTAGTTTCTACTGCTAGTTTCTACTGCTAGTTTCTACTGCTAGTTCTACTTCTTCATCAACTCCAGTCCTCCGGAGCTTCGTGGACCTTCGGTGCTGCTGACCGGAGCTGACGTCGGGTCTACACCCTTCTCAGCCTCTGCCCGGCCCGTGACGCCGAACCCGCGAAGTCCTCACTAATTGCAAAACTTAAAAGCTAAGTCCTCCCCTCGTAATTATAGAAACAAGAACCATAACGAGCCAATATCTTAACCTACCCCCTGAGAACAAAAATAAAGATTGTTAAACTTTATTATTACTTTTATTCTTTATACCTGAAGCCTGGGGGTGCTTCTCACCCCCCATCTACAACCCAAACGCTTCATAATGTCTAAATTCCTTTACTAATATTGAGAAAAACAAATGAGAAACAGGTACATAATTATTTCAATAATAAAATTATTCACTTAAAAACATTAAACATTAAATAAAAACATATGTAATGGAAAAGAGGAAAAACATGAACATCACATTTGTGTCATGCAAAAAACTATTCAATTACATTTTATCTTCATTTTGTTCTTTGACATAGGGATTGGATGTAAATGATATAGAACGTATAAATGATATAGCTGGCAGAACCATCTCAAATATTGGACTATATATTCCGTGCCTAAGAGCAAGTTGCTTGGGACTTTCTCCTGAGTTATTGGGTTTTTCCGCAATGTCTGTAGTGTCTTCTCGAAGAAGCAAAACAACTAATGTTGATTTACAATGACTGATAGCAGCAGCTAAATGCAATGGTGTTTGTTCTGTGAACAAAATCTATGCATCAATAAAATACTACATATTTAAAGCATAATAAATTTTTACATAAGCACCTTATATTTGGGGTAATCACAAAAAATTGGAATTTCTGACAGTGACATTAAACAAGCATTATGTTTATGCTAATTTAAAGTTTTTTTTTATTAAAAAGTTTTTATTTGTCAACTTTATCAACAGTTGATAAAAAAACAATGCATGATGTGGTGGTAATTTGTCATTTTTGGAAATTTTCTGCTGTAGGTACCCCCAAGGTCAAAAAAAGAAATGTTTGAATATATTAACCTCCATCTGAAACTGCACTTATGTCAGCCCCTGCAGCTAAAAGTCTGGCAGCAACTCTATAATTATTCCAATTACAAGCTGAATGCAATGGGGTCCAGCCAAGTTCAGTTCTTGTATGTATATTTGCACCAAGACTCAACAACAATGATATTGCTGAAATGTGATTGCCATAAGCAGCACGGTGAAGAGGTGTATATCCATCAGAATCACGAGCATGTACAAGGCCAGGCTGACTAGTTAATAATTGTTTGAGGGTTTCAATTTCCCCATTCTCAGCAGCCCAGAGTACATGGTCAATTGGGTTAGCTGTAATACAAAATCAAATGAATTTATGATTATAGAAAATTTAAAAACTCATGTAATAGTATAAGTTTCCTATGCATCAACATAGTTATATCATCTTGCTCTGATTTAGTAGTCCCAATATATATGCAGTGTTACAAAATCATCTATTTGGAGCTTGTTTACAAAATAAAAATATTTATCACCTTTCGGGTTCTCAACAACATCTACGTCTTGATCAGCATCGTCCCATCCTGATACAAACATCCCAGAGGTTTCTGGATTCGTTTTGCATCTTTCAATTTCATCTTTAATTTCTTTGAATTTCTTAAAGTCAAAAGTTTCTTCTTCAGAATCTGACATTTTGTTCAGTTGTTAGGATAATTTATCTTTATTTTTTAGTGGGATTTAAAAAATATCTGCTTAATTTTACTTTCAAACCAATGTTTCAAACAACTTCTCTTTAATTTGTACGTTCATGCCCTTTGATTGCCTTTGATGCAGTAGAGTAATCAAACATAATGTGTAGCTAAGTACTTGCCCAAAACTCGATTAAATGGAAACCCAGTACGTATACTTTTAAACAAATATGTAGGAACAATATATATGTGTATAAAAAATATATGAATAAAATTTAACGCAGTCGTTCGTGCAATATTTTAGAATTAGAGCATAGACTTAGGGTATGTTCCGATATACACTGCGACCACTGAATTCTGTTTCGACTGATCACGTGATCAAAAGCACTGCGAGCACCTTACCTCGAAATCTCCAGTGCTCACAGTACAAATATGGCGGCAATTTATGACGTCATAAATTTCCCTAGGGTACTGAGCAGTGTACTGGCAGTCCATAACGGAACGGATTTTTCAGCAGTAAGACCACTGCGCAGTGCTCGCAGTGTATATCGGAACATACCCTTAGTAAGTATCAGAAGACCAACTTCCTAACAAAAATTTCTTCGTAGAACGTAATTGGGAGCCAGTGATAGAGTTTGGCAAGCGAAACGTGACACCACCTATTTTTCCGTTTTCATATGGCAACAACATAGAACTGTCAGTTTGACACTACGTTAGACAATTCAAGAATATTGAATTTTGTTGTTTTTGCGAATTTGAACTTGTGTTTTTGGTTAAAAATTATGTCGAAGCCGATAAAAAGTTCATCGAGGAAACTTCTTTCCATCATGATTGACAAGTTTACTGAAGTGAAAACTGAATTAAATAAAAATTTCATGGAGAAATTACAACGATTAGATAAAGTTGTATCTTTTTTAGGTTAGTTTTGTATTATAATTTTGATACTTTCGTTTTAATTTTCTGTAATTAACTAAACAGATATTTTTTATAAAATATTGCTCTATTTCAGATAACTGTGATGGTGATATTCAACCAATAATGGAGGAGATAAATGCAATAAAAACTTTAGAAAAACAAGAAATGCTGAATTCGGAAACGCAGTACTTACAAAAAATTTCTTCAATGACAGGTCTCTTTTCTTGTTTTGATTTAAGATAGATTGATAGTATTCCTATAATATTTACATAGGTATTTTATGATGTATTGGTTTTTATTGTTGACATCCAATGATGTCATAAGAATGTTTTGTTTAACAAGGAAATTCACAGAATTCATGAAACTAATCAAACCATGTAATTGTTATACATGCTAAATATGCACATAAACTTAACTAAATTAAACATAAATTGCATTCATAGTTGAATAGGTATTTAAATTATTTTGATGTATGTGTCTATCATTATTTGCTTTTAAATACATTTAACATATCTTTGTTTCAAAGTGTTTAATCTTTTATAGATGTAAGTATAAGGACACTAAGAAGGATAAAAAATGAAGCATTAATTAATAAAGGAAAATGGGACACTCCTGGGAAAAAACGACCTCATCAACCAACAGTGTCTGCTTTAGATAATTTTGATTTAAGTGCAATTCGGAATAAAGTAAATGAATTTTACTGTGTGAAAAAAATTGTTCCAACATTAAGAAGCCTTCACAATGAATTAAAAGATGCAATAGGATTCAGTGGTAGCCGTGAGACTTTACGAAAAATTATGCTTAAGAATGGATTTTCTTTTAAAAGCAATGAAAATGAATGTTCTATGCTTATAGAAAAATACCAGATTTCTGCATGGAGGCACAAGTATTTGAGAGAAATAAATATAAAACGAAACGAAGGAAAGCAAATTGTGTACCTTGATGAAACTTATGTACATCAGAATTATAAAGTTAAAAAGTCTTGGCAAGGACCTTCAACAACTGGTGTCACTACAAAGATATCCTCTGGAAAACGGCATATTGTTGTGCATGCTGGATCTGAGGAAGGTTTTGTGCCTGGTGCATTATTAGTGTTCAGTAGTAAATCCAAATCTGCTGATTATCATGATGATATGAACTCATCGAACTTTATGAAATGGGTCAGAGAAAAATTAATACCAAATTTAAGTAAGCCCAGTGTAATTGTTATGGATAATGCCAGCTACCATATAAAACAAATCAATAAACCGCCTATAATGTCTAATACCAAAGCAGATATCCGTAAATGGCTTGTAAATAATGGAATACATTTTGAGGAATATCAGACAAAGGCAGAGTTAATGTGTTTGGTTAATGATAAGAAAACATTGCCTGTATATGAAGCTGAAGAGATTTTAAAAGAACATAATCATGAACTTTTATTGCTGCCACCGTATCATTGTGACTTAAACCCAATAGAGATGGTTTGGAGTCAAGCAAAAAGAAAAATTGCAAGCAGAAACATTGGAATACCAGGAAAGGAAATGGAAAACTTAATAATAGAGTGTTTTAACTTAATTACCCCTAGTGACTGGAAGAAATACACTGATCATGTTTTAAATGTCGAAAATGATTACAAATTAAAAGATGGCATTGTTGAAAACGAACTTGAAAAATTTATTATATCTGTTGGTGCAGACAGTAGTGAAGAGAGTGACTCTGATGATTCCTTGTCATTGTTATCAGGTGTAGAATATTTAGAAACAGATTTTGACTATGAATCAGACTAAAGTATTTTTAGTCTGATTCATAGTCAAAATCTTATCTTAAATTTTCTATTGTGATTAACATGATGATTTTGTGACACCTGTATTATGTAATTTATCCATGGCACTTAATTGTAACAAAAATAAATGTTTTTTTTATTGTAATCTGGTGTTTATATTGACTAATTTAATTTGATAGATAGTGGTTCTGGATCAGAGCAAAAGGTTGTGATGAAAATCCCTTAGGAGACATGTATGTGTTATGAACACATTATAAATATAAGGGCCAGAAATCGAAATTGGCTAACATCACATTTATTAAAAAAATGTGGCCAGAGTCGCCCATATTCATTACAAAAAAACAAAGAAGTCGTTGCAAAAAACACCCTTTTAATTAATGACAAATATGAATTTTTAATATTATAAGTGCTGTTAGCCAATAGGTATAACGAATGGGTTAAAAAAAAGATTCGATTTAGTCCGTCAGTCAGATAATAGAAAAATATTGGATACGTATTTTTTTTCGCTTTAATTTAACAACAAATGGCTTAAGAGGTACTATGCGACGACTTCAAATATGCTTTGCAACAATGTTACTTTAATACAGTTTATCGATACGAAATCAAGTGTCAAAATGGAGTCCAGTGGAGAATGCCGATATTGACATTTCGAAATTGCTCATCATTGATAGAGAATACGAAATAGTGATTTTGACACAATCAAAGTGTCTATTTTTTACGGTGATGACGATTCTTGGTTGTCAGTTGAGTTAGTGAATAGGCCTACTGATATGCTGTTAACTGTACAATTAAGAACAGTCACGCTTTAGTCAAATGTTCCAAAACAAATAATTTTAATTGATATCTAAATGTTAAGATTAAATATAATTAATAAAAGTATCAAAATTATTTTGCAGTACTACATTCAGTGTTTACTGCTTAAGAATTTTTGAAATTGCCGCCCTTTTCTTGTGACACGTTTCGCTTGCCAGACTCTACATGACAGCTTCATTCGTTTTAAATATTAAGATCTACTATCAGCAAAGGCATTTGGCTATACAGCCCTTTTTTGGGTAGGTACCTAGCCGTCTTCTTATTTTCCATATTATTTTTACTTTGATTTTAATACAACAATAATAATAAAGCAGACTGATAAGTCTAGCTTATTATTATTGTTGTATTAAAACAAAAAAGGAAAAACGAACACGTAAATGAAACACACATTTTTCCAATATTATTTATTGAATCATTTATTTTTAACTTATTATATCTTTCACAGCTTTCTTCTGCATTATCGGCAATTCCTAGTTACGTTTTTTAGTGGCACAACCTTATGAAACTTTTCAAGATAATCACAATTTTTTTTTTTGACGTGGATACGTCTATGTTTTCGTTCTACAGGGGGGTCATTCTGTGAGCAGGAGTATATGCACTAACGCCATCTATTGGCGTATAAGTGAACTATGCTTGCTCTGCAGGGGGAGGGGCATTCTGTCAGCAGGAGTATATGCACTAACGCCATCTGTTGGCGCTAGTGAATACTTTTTTCATTCAACAAATGAACGCAACGAATATTTATTTATTTAGTGTTGAGTGTCTTCAATTTGTTTATTTTTATTTTTTTTAATTATTCATTTATAAATGCAATTATGCCACAACGTTGCATAATTCCGGGTTGTTTTGGAGAAGCGAATCGTTCAGTTTTAAGAGTGCCAAAGAACATTGATAGACCTGAAGAGTGGTTAAAAGCTATTCGTGATGTGTTTCCTAACCAGGATGTTGGTGAAAATATTTATTTTTGTGAAAAACATTTTAAAGAAGCAGATTTTACGGCATATATAATTGACAAATCTGGAAAAATTATTCAAAAGGTATCATTATAATATACAATACAATAAATATAATACAATAAATAAAAAAAATAGCTTTATGCCATACGTATGCATATGTACACATCCATCTACGAACACGTAAATATAGCTTTATATGCGTTAGCAATAAAATGTAAAACATTTTTGAGTGAATTTGCTGATCTTTAAATAAAAATAAATAAATTCGTGCAAATTCAAGTAAAGGACATCGTCGAAAATGGCCCCAATATGAACAAGCATGAATATGAAGGAAACAACTTCAGCTGTATTTCTTAATGTTGTGCTGACGGGTCTGCCATTCACATAAGTTGCTGCAAATTAAATCATATAATAGAGTCTGGCAAGCGAAACGTGTCACAAGAAAAGGGCGGCAATTTCAAAAATTCTTAAGCAGTAAACACTGAATGTAGTACTGCAAAATAATTTTGATACTTTTATTAATTATATTTAATCTTAACATTTAGATATCAATTAAAATTATTTGTTTTGGAACATTTGACTAAAGCGTGACTGTTCTTAATTGTACAGTTAACAGCATATCAGTAGGCCTATTCACTAACTCAACTGACAACCAAGAATCGTCATCA